GCAACACACAACGCACAACACACACACACCCACCCCGCACACCGCACACCACCACAACACACAACACACAACTCGTCTTTTCTCCTGTCATATACGGAACATACATTCTTTGGGGCGTGGGTGATCGACATGCTGGCCGCTCGCTCGGCGTCGCGGCTGCTGCCGCGGCGGGCTGTGGTCATTGGCGGGCGTCGCGCGGCCTCCTCGCTGTACTGGCCCGACCCGTGGGGGCGACCCGCGTCCGAGGTGGGCGCCGCACGCCTCATCGACCCGGGAGAGGTTGATTCGTGGCAGTTTGGCCGGCAGGGAGGCGACCGCTCGCGGCCAGACGTGTGGGTGCGTGTGCGGCAGGAGATGCCTGGCTACATGTGCCCTGCCTGCCGCACCACCTTCCGCAAGTGGACGCATCTTTTGGGGCACTGGCGGCTCACCAACCACGTGCAGGTATCCTCGGCGCCTCTGGGCTCTCGGTCTGGCGAGACTACCCATTGTGAGCCCCGGCGTCGCCTCCTCAGGTGCCGGCACAGGCGCTGCTCACGCGCCTCGACAAGTCTGGCAAGCCGATCGGCTGGCTGCGCCGGGCGATGGCGGAGCATAAGCTGCCGCCGTCGCGGCGCGAGACCGCGCGCCTGCTCCTGCTGCCGTACGGCGCGGCGCACCTGTGGCTCAGGCCGGCCGCCTTCCTGCTCCCGCCCGAGGAGGCCGCGCTGGAGCAGCTGCGCTTCGAGGAAGAGCTCAGCCGCGCGCCGCCCACCGCCTTGCGCCGCGCGCTGCTGACGCGCGAGCGCAAGGCGATGGCCAGGAGAAGCGGCGGCGCGCGCCGGCCAGGCTGCCGTGGCGGCGAAGCATCGGAGCGATTGGAGTGCGAACGCCTGGCTCACGACCCTGGTGTCATGTTGTAGCATTTTGCGGTTCTGTTTTGGTGCCCGTGCGCGCCGGTCTCGTGCGCGGCCTCTTTCCGCAGCGTTTCTCACTTCTGGGCGAAGTGACGGCTAGCCCGTGGGCGCGCAACAACAAGCGAAGCCGAACGGCTCTCCTCCTTCTGATATGTCTGACCCGGACCTTGCCAAGGCCGTGCGAGATCTGCAGGTCGGCGACGCTCATGAGCCTGAGCGCCTCGACTCGTCGGGTTTCGCGCACGGCAAGCCTGCGCCTGGCATGGAGTGCCTCTGCTCTATGGAGGTGTGCGAGCGTCGTCTTTGCGCCCACCCTTTCCGTGGTGTGTGCTGGCCACTGACCAGCCTCCGTGCCCAGGACATTACCGAGGAGGACGCAAACTACGTCGAGTTCCGCACGGCTCCGAGCGAGACGTGGCACCCATGCCACTTCTCGAGCGACGTGCGAGCTTTGCTGCACACATGCATCGCGTGCGTGCGCGCGCGGTGTCCACCCTGTGCTCGTCGGCCCGCTAGGTGGTCCGCTCACTGCTGCGCACCCAATTCCGAGACTATGTCGAGGCCGTTCGAAAGGCCGACTGCGCCGCCGACCTCAAGCGCCGCATCGGCAGTGGTCCGCCGATCTGGGTCGCAGACAAGCACGCGATGCCGCTTCCCGAGGGCGACACGCACGTCGAGAGGCTGTGGTTTGCGGGCGACGGGCATGAGTACTGTGCCAAGCTCGCGGGCGCGCTGGAAGGGGAAGCCCGCCAAAAGCTGTGGGACGAGCTCGCGGCGTTTCTGCCTCCGGAGGCGCGGCCCACCACCCATCCCTCTACACGTGCGTCCTTTACACCCCGCCGCCGACCGCAGGAGTCGGCGCCAGCGCCGGCGCAATCCTAAGCCGTCCTCTTCGACCACCCCTCTCTCCCTCTCTCTCTCTCTCTCTCTCTCTCTCTCTCTCTCTCTCTCTCTCTCCGCGATATGTCGAGAGAATGAATGTCAATCCCAGGTCAATCTTACCCGCGCAGCCGCGCTGTCACTTGGAGCCGTGACCCTGCCGCTCACGATGAAAATTGTGTATGACTCTGTGTACTCCTGTGAGAGGGGTCTCCAAAGAGACTCTCTCCACGCCCATGGGACGTCGAGCGAGACAAACACAAAGTACCACGTCGGTCGATAGAGCACATAGAGGTGTACGGTGGTAACACGTTAGTGTAGGGTGTAGCACAAGCCACACAACCACCGGGACAAGCAGAGTCGCCAGTCGCCACGCGACGGTCCCCACGCGCAAAGTCGCGCGCTCAACTTTCTGGACAGGTCGGGACTTGGGTGCGTACATCGTAGTCTCGCCGAGGGTCAGCGAGAGCCGAGAGACAGAGAGAGAGCCCAGCTTCCGGCTTCCGCGCGCGAAAACGAAAAGAGTGTCAGTCGTCGTAAAACAGCTGCTCGTATCCATAGTTGCGGTGGCGGTCGCGGTAACCCTTTCGACAGAAGGTGAATTGGAGGATCGGGCGCTCGCCCTGCTGGTTTGGCGAGCCGCAGTGCACGGTGCGGTAGTCGTACAGGAGGGCATCGCCGGCGGCCAGCGGCGCGCCCGAGACCACCGCGCGCAGCCGCGTGCTCGCCGCGGCGCCCAAGTTGAGGCAGGCGGGCTGTCGGTGGGAGCCGGGCCAGAAGGCGGTGCATCCCAGCCCGTGCGCCACCGCCCTCCCGGCTATGCCCTCGCCGCCGCCGCCCTCGCCGCCGCCGACATGCCTCGGCGCGGAGAGCGGCACGAGCGGCACGAAAGCGCACAGGGCGTATGCGAGCGGCACCGCCTCGCCGTCGGCGCCGTACGTGTAGCGCGAGTGGCCTCCGTCCGAGTGCCAGTGGCCGGCGGGGCTGCCGCGCCGCGAGACGATGAGCGAGACCTGAGACGACCCGAGATCGCCTGAGACGACCCGAGAGGACCCGAGAGGGCTCGAGAGGACCCGAGAGGGCCCGAGGGGGCTCGAGAGGACCCGAGAGGGCTCGAGGGGGCTCGAGAGGGCTCGAGAGGACCCGAGAGGGCCCGAGGGGGCTCGAGAGGGCTCGAGGGGGCTCGAGAGGGCTCGAGGGAGCTCGAGAGGGCTCGAGGGGGCTCGAGAGGGCTCGAGGGGGCTCGAGAGGGCTCGAGGGGGCTCGAGAGGGCTCGAGGGGGCTCGAGAGGGCTCGAGGGGGCTCGAGAGGGCTCGAGGGGGCTCGAGAGGGCTCGAGGGGGCTCGAGAGGGCTCGAGGGGGCTCGAGAGGGCTCGAGGGGGCTCGAGGGGGCTCGAGAGGGCTCGAGGGGGCTCGAGAGGGCTCGAGGGGGCTCGAGAGGGCTCGAGGGGGCTCGAGAGGGCTCGAGGGGGCTCGAGAGGGCTCGAGGGGGCTCGAGAGGGCTCGAGGGGGCTCGAGAGGGCTCGAGAGGGCTCGAGAGGGCTCGAGGGGGCTCGAGGGGGCTCGAGAGGGCTCGAGGGGGCTCGAGGGGGCGAGACCTGCCACTCGAAGTCGTCGCCGAGGGCCGCTTCGACCGCACCCCTCCACCGTGCCCCTTTGGCCACCCGCCGGAGCAGAGCCTACGGGAAGGGTCCGAGAGAAGGTTCGCGGAAGGTTCAGAGGGAGGGGGGGTCTAGCCACCCGCCCGGACAGCGCCTCGTCCGACGGCTCCGCGCCCGCCGCCTGCCCGGCGAAGTTGAGCTCCGGCACGTCGCAGGCGTCCGAGGGCGGCGCGTGCAGCAGCATGTCCCACCTGCCCTTCCCGCGCGAGCACACCTCCGCGTACGAGTAGTCGCCACCCTCGAGCCCCTGCTCGTGCCCCTCCCGCACCATCCTCGCCTCGAGCGCCTCCACCCTCCGCCGAGACAGCTCTCGCAGCGCGGCCACGTCGGCCGGAGAGACCGCCGAGGGGAGCACCACGAGGCCGGCACGCTCGAGCGTCGACAGCTCCGCGGCCGGCCCGCCGCCGCCCGCCGCCACCGTGAGGTCTGCAAGGCCGCGCGGCAGGCGAAGCATCGGCAGCCTCGGGCAGCGCGACACGAGGAGGACCTCGATGCTCTGCACGCGGCCCGCCGCACCGCCCTCCGCTGCCAGAGCGATCGCCGCCCGCAGCCGCTCAAGGAGCGCCGCCGCGAGAGCCGCGGGGGGCTCAGCCTCAGGGCTCGCCAGCCGACAGCTCACGTCGAGCGCCGCCCCCTCCCGCGCCTCCGCCGCGCCTCCGCCGTGAGTCGGCAGCCACACCCACGGAGGCAGTGCCTGCTTGGACTCGGAGTCCAAATAGGCGTCGGGGGTGTCGAAGCCGCAGCCGCAGTCGGCCAGGTCGGTCCACTTTGCGTCCAGCCAGGTGAGGGCCCGCTCGTCCCAGCCAATCCCGCGCACGGCCGCCTCGACGCTCGCGGCTTCAGCACTCATCCCAGCCAATCCCGCACCCGTGCTGAGGCGAAGGTAGGCCGAAGCGCTGCCGGCGTCGAGCCGGCGCACAGCGCCAGTAACGCCGCGAACCGGGAGCAGCGCCGGGCCGTCCATCCCTCAGTCAGAGCAAAAGGCGCGCGGCGGCCTGTCCACCTGTCGGCCTGTCCACCTGTCGGACAGAGCAAAAGGCGCGCGGCGTGGACAGGCTTATCCAGCCCGAAGCGAATACGCGGGCGATTGGGTACTCGAGTAGTGAGGATTGGTGTGACGCGATCCACGCAGGCGTGTTTTCTGGCGGCCGACCGTCAGTGCACGGAGTTGCCCCTTCTCCGACTGCCCCGGCTAGTTAGTTCCCGAGGTCGCGCGGAGCTGACCCCTGCGTCCCCCGAGACCTAGGTCCTAGCGCGGGTGGGTTAGAGGGGGCTCGCTCGCTGCAGGGAAGGGCTGTGTAAGAAGCCGATCCCCGTAGTCCGCCCCGCTCCTCCCCATCGGGCCGCAGAAGCGGCCGCGCCTCGCAGATTCGTTTTCGCGCCTGGGTCAGGCGCGCGGGGCATCCCCCGGGTCGCTCGACCAGCGATCCGAAGAGTGGCCGCTATGCGAAGGAAAGAGTGGGGCCCTCGGGGTACGCCTCGTCCGGCCCCCTCCGAGGGGGGAAGGGAATTGCGGGGTCCCCACGGGCGCCTCAGTTCGGCCCTCCCGAGGGGGGGAGGGGAGCAAGGGGGTGGGGGGATTGGGGTGGTGGGGAGGGGTCTCGGTTTCATGTGGCTAATACTTGCCTATCGGGGAGGGGCATCAGGAAAGGCGAGGCTGGCTCAGCCCTACGTCTTCCCCTCTCCTCCCTCGAGGCAGCGAGTAGGCAGCGAGAGGAGGTCTCGAGCGCCTATATGAAGGTATGTGAGATGGTGATGGGAATGGGTGGTCGGGCGGGCGGGCGGGCGGGCGGGCGGGCGGGCGGGCAAGCGGGGAGCGGCGGGCGGGCGGGGCGGAGCGGGCGGGCGGGGTGATCGGGGGAATCGTGTCCACAATCAGCAGCAGCGGAGCAGCAGCAGCAGCAGCTGCTGCTGCAGCAGCAAGCAGCAGCCTGCCGCAGATTGCTGCCGTTGTCAGCGCCGCGATCCGCCGCCGCGCCGCCGCGCCGCCGCCGCCTGCGCCGCCTGCGCCGCCTGCGCTCGCCGCCGCCTCGCAGACAACTCCTCTCGCGTCGAGGAGCCGCGCAGCGGGCCGCGAGGTGGATGTCAAAGAGCCTCAAAGTGGCGAGGTCATGAAATCATCAAAATTTGAGGTTGCTCGACAGACGGCCCGGAAACGGTCCCGCGTTGTTGCCCCGGTGCTGGCGCGCATCACACCTCTGAACTCTCTTTTACGTACATAAATAGGCTGCCAGCGCCCGCCGCACCCGTCTCGGCTGGCGTCCCAACAGCAGGCGACTCGTCTGGCATGGCCCCGTTCGCGGCTAAACGCGCCCGTCTCCCGCGCGAGCGAAGCGGTTTCGCACTCGTCTCCTCTCTTGACTCTTTGCACTTTGGTCCTGGGGCCGCGGTCAAAACCGGACCTACCCGTCCGGCCGTGCCCCGCGGGGGCGCGGTCGGCACCAGAAGGGGGTTGATACGTTCTCTAGAGACGACGTAGTCGTGGACGGCCAGGAGGGTGCCGGCATAGGCGAGCGTGCCGGCGCCCGCCTCGACGTTGTTGCGCTTGAGCCACTTTGCGGCTTCTTCAGAAGCGGCTTTTGCGATGACTGCGACATCTTTGGCGGGGACCTCTCCGAGGCTCCCCGCCAGCGAGTCGCCGGCCATATCTGGGATAGCGTGAAGGGACTCCCCCAAAGTGCTGGTCGTGACCAGTTGACGCTGCCACGTCCGGCCGTGCCCCGCGGGGGCGCGGTCGGCACCAGAAGGGGGTTGATACGTTCTCTAGAGACGACGTAGTCGTGGACGGCCGCAATCACAGTGGACGGACACGACAAGACGAGTGTGAAAGCACGGAGGCAACAAAACACACTAGGGTTCGGGAGAAGGCTAGGGTTAGGGAGAGAGTGCCTGACGGGCTTCGGCCCGACGCTACCTACCTATTGCACAGGGTTTAACGGGTGGGAACACCAGGGTTTAAAGGGTATCTCGGTAGGAGCCGGAACCCAGCAGGGTTTGGACTCTTGCGGAAGATGGGTTGGCCTATACGAGGTTTTCCGGCAAACAAAAAGGAAAACAGAGGTCCCCAGCACTTTGCGTTTCCGGAAATTTCCAGGGAAGAGGGTGTTTGGTGCTCCATTCTGGAAACTCGCGCGAGTTTCCCTGAGTCTGAGAGCTGGTCTGGGGCAAAATCTGAGGCAAAATTGAGGAATCGACAAAATACCCAGGCGGTCGCAGGGTAATTTCCAGGTCTACACGGGTTCTCCGCAAAATTCCCGGCATTTTGACGATTTGGCCTAAATAAAATTTGGCTGATTTTGGGCCCAAAACCACAGCCTCAAGAAGACGAGAGAGATTTCTTGTTGGTTTTCTAAAATCTCAGCCTCAGACTGTGCTCAGACTCGGCTCAGAGCCCAAAATTTGACGATTTCCACGGAGTTTTCCCGGGAAAATAGAGAGGAAAAGCGGTGCTGTAGAGAAAAAAAAGGAAAGGAAAACAGACGGGGTGCGAGAGGAAAACCTCGTATTGCAATACAGCCTAAAAGATGGGAGGTGAGGAAGAATCCGCGTGGGCGCTGGCGAGGTACTTCCAGCCTGCTGTGGGAACAGCTGACGCAGTCTCGCCGAGGCTCGCCCCAGCATCTCGGGTTCCCTCGCCCCCCCGGGCAAGGGGGGACCCGCGAGGCGTGGGAGTGCCTCGCCAGCTGGGAGTGAGCGCTCGGCAGCCAGCGACAGTCATGTGTACGTCGGCCGCCAAACGACCGGCCGACGTCATCAGCTTGAACAGCGACGACGAGCCAGGGCCGCCGACCAGCCGGCGGCAGCCGCCGGTACCGACGTACAGCCGGGCCCCTGGCCGGCCGGCGTGCCCGTTTGGCATCAACTGCTACCGCCGCAACCCCGCCCACTTTGAGTCGGAGGACCACCCGGCAGAGCACCCGCTCCTCGCGGCCGCAAACAGCCAGCAGAGCCAGCAGCGTCCTGCTGCCGTGCCCGCTCCTGCCGCCGCCGCTTCGGCTCCGGCACCGGCTGCGAGTGAAGAGTCCAACGCAGGAGACGGGGCGAGGGCGGAGCCGGCGTCCGCGGCGTCGAGCGGGTCTGGCGGTCCCTCCGCCGACATCACCATCCCGTCGCGGTACGCCAATCCGGCCGTCTTCCTGCGCGTCCCAAAGAAGGACAGGCCGGTGGAGCCGGTGCGGATCCCTCTCCTCCGCCCGTTTGTCGGAGACAACAGCTTGCTCATCGGCCACTTCAACGGCGCCACCACTTCGTCAGCGCCCGTCTGCAAGCTGGCGGGGTTCGACTTTGACGACACGCTCTCCGAGCGAAAGGCGGCAGGAGGCAAGGACAAGTGGAGGAGCAGCTTTTGGAACCACCGCTTCGGCTCGTCGCCCGCGATGCTGCGCGCGCTGCACGCGCGCGGCTACCGGCGCCTCGTGCTGGCCGGCGAGCGCGTCTCGACGGAGCCTTCGCTGATCCTTCTCGGGCGCGTCCGATAGGCTCCTCGTGCTGACAAACGAGAGCGTCGCGCACCTCAAGAACGCCGACCCGCTGCGGGCGCAGATAACGCCGAAGCTTGAGCGGCTGGCGGGCTGGGCGGCGGACGTGGGCGTGCCCGTGCTCGTGCTCGTGGCGCGGCTTCTGCCCGAGGCAGCCACCGCCAGGCCGGTGGAGGAGACATCAAGACCTGTCGGCTGGCGCCGAGTAGGCGACAGACAAGAGGACTGGCACTTCGAGCCGCGGCCACACGCTGCACAAGCAGCCCGTGACCGCCGCCGGCAACGCGGGCATGTGGCACGTGGCGGAGGAGCTGCTGGGCGCGAGGGCGGCCCCAGAGAGCTTCTTCGTGGGCGACGCCGCCGGCCGCGAGACTGACCACGGAGACGACGACAGGCGGCTCGCCGCGGCGGCGGGCGTCACTTTCTACACCGAGGACGCCTTCTTCGGACGCGACCCCCTCTCGCTTCTCGCGGACGCGGCGAATGGCTGACACGTCCTCTCGAGGCGCGGCGATGGACGCTGGGGGGCGGCGGTGGGTCCAGACACAGGCATGCGGGGGACCATGAGCATGTCCTCGGCCCAGTGATTTCGCACACGTGCCTGTGTGCATGTGCATGTAACGCACCGTGATCCGTGTCTCCCCGCGGTCCTTCGGTTGTGCTTGTGGCGGCTGTGGCGGCTGGCGCCGTTGGCGCAGGGCTCGTCGCGTTTGTTTTTTGGATATGGATATAATGCTACCTATGTACTTATGTGCGAGCCGCGTGAACACACGTTCGACGTTGTTTCTTCCCCTTTCCACAGGAACTGGTCCTCGCGAACGACTCTCTCTCCTGGGGTCCTCTGGACCGGACTCTGCGTGGGGCGGGGGGGCGGGCGGCTGGCGCGTGGCCCGCAGGCCGCAGCGCGAGACTCACTTTCCCAGATCCCACACACCACACACCTCGTCAGCCGTAGCAGCGGATCGTCTCCTCGGCGCGCTTCTTCGCGCTCTGCCCGCCCTTTTGCAAATACTGCTGGTGATAATCCTCGGCCGCCCAGAAGCGCTCCGCCGGCTGCACCTCCGTTTGCACCGCGCCGAGCGTCTCGTGCTCGCCCACGGCCGTGAGCACCTCGCGCGCGACCGCCTCCTGCTCCTCGCCGTGCGGATAGATGCCGTGCCGGTACTGCGTGCCGCGGTCGTTGCCCACTTGGTTGAGCAGGTAGAGGCTGTCGCCGAGCCGCTCGACGAGCAGCTCGCACAGGCGGCGGTACGTCACCTCGTCCGGGTCGAAGACGACCTGCACCGCCTCGGTGTGCCCCGTGCTGCCGCTGCACACCTCCTCGTAGGTCGGCTCGGACGAGGAGCCCTGCGGGAGAAGGTTCGGGCAAGGGTCACTCGTGCCCCACGGTACCGCCGAGATAGCAGGGTGAGGCGTGCCTGCGTGTAGCCGACAGCAGTGCTGAGCACGCCAGGCTCGCGCTGGTAGGCGAGCTCGAGGCCCCAGAAGCAGCCGCCGGCGAAGGTGGCGGTGGCGAAGGCGGAGGCAGGCTGCGCCGCGACGAGCGACGCGTCGAGCAGCAGCCGGCATCCAGCGAGAGGGTGGTTTGTGTCCAGTGTCACAGTCTCGTCATCCATCGCGGTCACCGTCGCCTGCACCGGTCCCTTGGGCGTTGTGAGCTGCACCGCCATCCCAGTCGTCAGCCCCGGCGGCGCCACGTCCACTGGCGCCGTCACCTTGCCCGCCTCGTTGTAATCACCGAAGCCCGCATCGATCGACACGCCGGATACGGAGCCTCCAACGTCGAGCCCCTCGACGGCATCGTGGAGGCCGTCGATGTAACCACCGCCACCCAGCACGAAGCGCGCCGCGCCGATGTCGAAGGGCAGCGACCCAAGCATGGCGTCGCCAAACTGGACAGATCGCGAAGCTGGGTCAGGTTTGAGAGAGTACTCGACGCTCACCACGTCGCCTCTCGCCGCCGTAGCCATCAGCGGCGCCGCCAGGCGCCCGCCCCGGCGGTGAGCGACGCGTAGGCGCGGCGCGACAGAGAGGCGCCGTGCGCGTGGCAGTGGTCCGACTCGGTCGACAGCCAGGCCGCGCAGCGCGAAGCAGGACGAGAAGGCAAAGGCGAGCATGCACAGCAGGCGATCCGAGCTAGCTGGGTGTCGCGCGAGCAGGCACTTCAGGGGGGAAAGAAACACACGCAGGAGCTACATGCACACCAAGCTGCAGAAACGAGCTTTTAGTGCTTATGAGCATAAGCACTGGATTCTCATGCGCGCGGAGCGCGCCGGTGCTCTACCCGGACACGCGCGGAGCGCGCTAGCTGGACACCGCACGCGCGGAGCGCGCTAGCTAGACACACACGCGCGGAGCGCGCTGGCTAGATACAGAGACACGCGCGGAGCGCGCCGCTGCAGAACACGCGCGGAGCGCGCCGCTGCATGGGTAGGCGCGGAGCGCCGCCACTCGAGATTGGGCCTGTGGGTGGGCCGATTGGTTCCCAGCGTGTGAGTCAAACTCTTAATAGAAATCGCATCTAGCAACCCCACAACCCTCAAAATTTTCTTCGGGGCGCGCTCCGCGCGCGGCGCTCCGCGCCTACTCCTTGAGCGTCATAGGCACTGGTTCGCACATGTTCTGCAGCTTGGCATGCACATGCACATGCACATGCACATGTGCATGTGCATGCACATCCACATATGCATGCGCATGCACTCAAATGTGCATGCGCATTTGTGCATGCGCATGCACATGTGGACAAATAAATAAAAACGACACAAATCCTCTTCTTCTCTCTTTCTTTTTCCAGCTTTTACCGATGAAAGAAATAAAACAAAATGAAAAGTGCGCGGCTCCGCGGCTCAGGCCTCGGGCCCGAGCGTGTGTGTGTGTGTGTGTGTGTGCCCGTGTGTTCGAGGGGGAGAGAGCAGCGCGGTCCGCGGTGGAGCCGGTCGGGCGTGTCACAGCAAGAGGGACTCCGCCGGTCGGGCGTGTCACAGCAAGAATCAGCTCGGGGGCGCAGCCGCGATCTCCATGGCCTCCATGGCGGGCGTGGCGGTCGCCAGTGCGGCCGGCTGGCCGGCGCTCACCGCGGCGACGGCCACCGCGGCGGCGGTGGCCAGTTGCTGCTGCTGCTGCTGCTGCTGCTGCTGCGCGGGGCTGGCGGGCCCATGTCGCGTCTTCATGTGTCGCGTGAGCTCGCCGCGGTAGGCGGTGGCGTAGCCGCACTGGTCGCACTTGAAGGGCTTCTCGCCCGTGTGGATCCGCTTGTGCGAGTTGAGGTGGGCGGGCTGCTTGAAGGCGGCGTCGCACACGTCGCACTTGTACGGCTTGACGCCCGAGTGTACCTGCGGCAGGGGAGGTGCGGCAGGGGACGTGCGGCAGCAGAGGGCATCGGGTCGCGGCGCGATGGCCCGCGCGTGGAGCTTCGGAGTGGTCGGAGTAGGCTCTGTGTGTCGGAGGGAGGGACGCACCCGCTTGTGACGGGTGAGGTTGCTGGCGTCTGCGGTCGCATAGCTGCACACGTCGCACTTGTACGGCTCGCCCTGGTGGCGTCGCTTGTGCACCGCGAGGTAGCTCGGGTCCGCGCACGCAAACGAGCACTGGGCGCGAGGGCGGCGGCGGTGCGGCGGTGAGGGCGGTGGCGGCGGCAGCAGTCGCGAGTGAGGCCGTGGCGAGGGGGGGCGAGAGGCAGCAGGGCCGCAGAGAGAGGCGACACGGAAGGCAGAGGTGGCAGGGGGGCGGGCGTTTCGCGGTGAGCCCACGCCTGGTCGCACTTGAAGGGCTTCTCGCCCGTGTGCGTCCGCACGTGGCGCGCGAGCTCCGACGGCCACGCAAACGTCGAGTTGCAGTGCTGGCACTTGTGTCTCTTGTCGGCGTCGGTGCGCACCCGTTTGGGTGCGCGCGCCTTGCCCTCGGCCGCGACGAGCGCGGCTGGACTGGCTGGAGGCTCAGAGACCGACACGAGCGCCTGCGCCGCGGCGTCCCGCCCCTGGTCGGACGGGACGCTGAACGTCGCGAGAGCAGGCGCAACCGACCCGGTCGGCGGGGAGAGCGGGAGGATGGCGGCTAGATCAGACGAGGACGCCTGAGCAAAGTCCTCCACCCTGATCGACATATCAAAAAGAATTTAAACAAAGCAACTCTCTCTCACAGCAGACAGGCTCGACACAGGTGCGAACTGGCGCGTGCTAGATCAAAAAGAAAGAAAGAAAACAGACATACCAAGGGAGGGATGGGAGGACGGCACGCCGCCACCACACAGGGATTTTAAGGAGAGGAGTGTGATGCGCTAGCCGTCGCCCACCCTAGGGAGTCTGCCTCTTCCTATCTCTTTTCGCAGTCTCTCGCCGATTCTCGCTGCAACCTTCATGCCACCTCGCGGCCGTCCCACTCTCGTCGTTCTCTCCCTTGTCACTTCCTCCTCTGTCGCGTCATTCTCTTCTGCCTCGTCCTGCGCCGCCGCCGCCTGCCGTTCCCTTGTTCTCTCGGCTTCTTTCGCCTTTCGGCGCAGCTCCGCCCTCCTTGCTGCATATCCTGGCCCCTCGAGTCTATCGAGCTCCCCTCGCGCAAGGACCACATTTCTGACTCCCACTCCGATCATTTGCCTCCAGGTCATGTTGTTGCTCAGGTCCACGGGCACCCCTCGAAAAATAAAATCGGCCTACAAAATAAATCAAGGCGGCACAAGAGGACCAAGAGGACGCATCGATCCCTTTGGGCCCCTTCATCGATCCCTTCGTCGGATCCCCTCGAATGCAAGTCGCCGCGATCTTGTCCAAGAACGTGGGCTTCGGCATCTACGCGCTTGCCCTAGGTAGTCTAAGGTGCTCAAGCTCAGGACTGGAGCATTCTTTCCGTGTGCTTCTGGGGTGAGCTTCTTCTTGACGCCGTCTTCCGGGAAATCCAAGAGTAGCTAGATGCTGCCCTGACCAAGCCTACGTTACGCCGAAACCAACACAACACGACCAAGCACCTCGAACAACGAAACGGCTCGCCTTGAGTTGAGTCAGACTGCTTAGGGGACACCCCTAGGGTTCTGAGGGCCGGATTTTTTCAAGACCTTTTAAGAAGTGAGGAGGTTTGGGGGCGTAAATTGCCATTTAAGAGATGCAGGCACGGGGCCCCCCTCTTTTCGAAGACCGTTTAAGAAAATCGGCCTCGCCGGCACGCGTCGCTGGGTTCCGCGCCGTTTTCTCCAATACTGCCGTTATTAGGCACAAACCCGCCTCTGAAGACACATCTGTAAGTCTGGTGCACTGTCAGGAGCCATACTCGCATAGAGGACGCGTGCTAGCTGACTGTAGCCAGCTTCCCGGCCTCCGGCGTCTACCGGGAGCCTCCCGGACCATCGACCTCGGCGCGGGACGTCTCCCGGTCCCGCACCGTTTGAGCGTTTAAGACCGTTTGAGGAATCGGCGGCCCAGCTCTTAAAACCGGCCTAGGCCGGTTTAAAGCCGTTTAAGCCGCAGGCGCCCCAGGGCCCACCCTTTTAAGCCTAGGGGGCCCCTAAGTCAGACTGGGTCTGACTCGTCTCTAAGTCTAACGCGCTCTCTCGAAGCGAACTCGATTCTCACAACTCGATTCTTCGTCGATGGACTCTTTTACGCTAGTTAAGAGTCAACTTTCACATGGCGACAGTTTCTAGTTCTATCGCGCGCGCCGTAGTGGGAAACTCACGCACGGCGCAATGGGAAGCCACGCGGCTAGGTTGTTTTTGCCTTTGCCTTTGCGTCGCCGCCGGGCTCCCGCGCCAGCCACAGCCCGAGCAGCAGGGCGACGTGGCAGAGCTGCAGCAGCGTCGAGGAGGAGGCGGTGGGCGGGTAGACGTTGTAGGCGCCCTCAATGCCGATCCACAGCGCGAGCCTCAGCGCCGGCGGGAACGGCGTCATCCAAAGCAGCACCGGCAGCGAGTGGAAGTAGTAGAGGTAGAACTGGTAGTGCAAGCTGCGCGCCGCCGCGATGCCGATGAAGTTGCACGACAGCGCGACCTGCAGCGCGTGGCGCGCCGCGTCGTCGCGCGGCGGAAGCGGCCCGCGCACGGCCCCGCCGAGCAGGCTGAGGCAAGGGGTGGAGGTGAGACCTCTCCGCACGGAGGGGGGCAAGGGGGAAGGGTGCGTGCGTGCGTGCGTGCGCGCCTCAGCAGCCCGCCGTCGTGCCGCGTCCACCGCCAATGCGCAAACGCGAGCAGGAGGCAGAGGTGCGCGGCGAGCAGCCCGCGCGCGAGGGCGGCGGAGCCAAAAGCGGCGGGCGACAGCATCGCCCAGTTGACCGACCAGCGGTGCTCGAAGGCGCGCGAGAGCTCGAAGGCGCGGCCGAGGTATCCGGCCGCGTTGGCGCGCAGGAATGGCCAGGCTGTGGCGACCTGCCGGCCGAGGGCGGGCACCTCTTCGCGGCTGGAGGCGTGAAGAGACGCCGCGGGCGGCCGAGGCGCGCCTGCAGGCCGAGGGCGGGCATGGCGCGGAGGACGGCTCCGGCCCAGCCGCACTCGCGGAGGGTGAGCAGCGCGAGCGCGGGTGCGAAGAGGAGCGCGTTCATCTTGACCGAGAGTGCGGCCGAGAAGAGGAGTGCGCCTGCGGCGTAGGACCGGCGCGCGTACGCCGCGAGAAAGGCAAAGAGCAGCAGCATCGCCTGCGGCTCGGATCCGGCGGGGTGGAGCAGCAAAGGCTCGTGGAGACGAGGGCGGAGACGGGCGGCGTCACCGGTCCGTCGTTGAAGAGGCGGAGCAGGTAGAGCGAGTGGACTCTGTACGAGCCTGCCGTCGCGAGTATAGACGCGTCAGGGTGGGAAACAAAGGCACCGTAGTGTGCAGAGCATTGCTCCGAGCTCCCAGGGCTGGTTGCTGGACCACAGCGACGTGTGTTTGTGTTCCGCATCTAGGGTCATCGAGCCGCACGCAAGCGCCCACGCCCACGGAGGCACGCCGCAGGCTCGGTACACGCGGAGCACGAGCGCGAGCGTCGCCACACTCACGCCCAGTCCGATGTACTGCGCTGTCCGCACGTCCCCACCACCCGACACGCACCGGGCCGACTCGGAGACCTCTGTGGGCGGCAGGCGGCAGCAATCCGGGTCGGCGCCCGTCAGGCGGTGCAGGCCGAGGTAGAGCCACACGAAGCCCGCCGGGTACACGAGCGGCCCAGTGTTCGCGCCGATCGCGGTGTAATCACGCTCGCCGTCGGCAACCGCCTGCACCTCCTGCATGTAGGCCTTCCAATCGATCTCGGTGTAGCGTGCGCGGTGAATGATGAGCAGGCCGAGGCCGGTCTCGCCGGCCAGCAGCAGGCAGCCGAATAAGGCGGCGGAGCGCGACGACGCGGACGAGCTGAGAAATCGCGACATGTCACAGCGGGCTCGCGACCGCGATTTCGCCGGAAGAAGTCCCCTTACTCGAGTATCAAAAATCCTCTCTCTCTCGAGAAAAGGGAGGGGGTTGTGTTCTCTAGGCCCCTAAGGGCCAAGGGCCCTACGCGCGGCGTGAGAGCTCGGAAGCGAGCTTTGCACGGCGATCGAGGATGGCGCGGAAAATGGGAAATTTCATCACATTCACGCATTATCGGGGACGCACGAGTTCGCTGCCGTGGCCCGAAACAGCCACGTTCAGTGTCGCTGCATCACACCTCCCAGCAACTCTCGGGGTGGGTTCGCTTGCGCACGAGCTTGACCGGAGCAATAGAATCGGGCAAGATGCCGGTCCTCGCCGACCAAGTGTACGCGCTCGGCGAGTCACTCTACGAGCTCATATATTCAGAGGCGCAGTGCGACGATCCCGCCAAGGTCACTGGCATGCTGCTGCAGCTCGACGCGGACGCGGTGCGCTCTCTCATCGCCTCTCCCGAGCGCCGCTCCACGATGGTTGCCGAGGCGGTAGCAGTGCTCAAGGCAGCAACAGCTTCGCACGACAACCCATCCTCGGACTGCTATCGCAGCAGCCATGTGCCGATCCCGCACTCGAGCAGCCAGAGCAGCAGCCGAAGCCACGGAGAGCGCGCGCACGAGAACATTTGCCGCGGAGCCAAAGGCGGCAGCCGCAGCCGCAGCCGCAGCCGCAGCCGCAGCCGCAGCGCAAGCCCGCTCACGCGCGATGGGGCCAGGGATCCTCCAAGCCCAAGCGCGAGCAGCGCAGCGGCTCCGACGAAGCGACTCCACGTCGGTGGCCTCACCTCAGCTGCGTTGACCGAGCATGAGCGGCTACACCCTCAGCCCACGAGGGCGCCGGCGAGGGCGCGTTCGCGGCCGGCGCAGGGTTGTATCAGTCGTGCGGCAGCTTGTGTCTCAATCTCTCCGCTCCGCTCTGAGCCCGAGCAGCCTTCTTCGCCCCTGGAGCCCTCCCACCAGGCCCCGCCTCCTCCCCGGGAGAGGCCCGAGGGCCTCACCGTGTCACCTGCCCCCGCACATGGGGGCGCCTCCACCTCTGCTCCGGGGGTGATTCAGCTCGAGGCGGCCCCGGCTGAAGGCGGAGAGACGGTGTCTGACACCGCGGTGGCCGCTCGTGCGGCGAGGTGTGGCTCGCAAGCCCCTGCAAACGGCTCCTCGACCGGCGCGCTTGCGAGCGGCCCCCTTCCCTTGCGCGAGGCGTTGCGGCGTGCGCAGGGCCTGGAGCGAGAGGTGAGGCGCGAGGTGGAGAGGTACGCCCTTGGCGAGGATAACCTCAAGAGGCTCGTGGAGGAGCGGGGAGGCACCTTTCGCGCCGCAGTGGCGCGCGCAGTCGTTGACAAGATCGCAGAGTTCATCCTGGTGGCCAAGAGGAGGCGTCGCGACAAGAGCTACGCGCTGCGCGCGACGGCGGAGGTCTCGGCCAAGGAGGCGTGCGCCAACCTGGAGACGCTGCGCAAGAACTTGCGCAAGCAGGCCGAGGGGAGGCGCTGGAAGTAGTAGGGTACTGGAACACCGGAGCCACACGACACGCTCAAACGTCCTCTCCAGCGGCACGGACCCACGGCCTTGGCAGACGGTAGTAGAACTTGTGTAGAATAGCCACACAGAGAGAGAGAGAGAGAGAGAGCACAGATAGGCGCGCGGGTAAGTCTCTCATTATACAAGACAAAGTGTATATCGAATGCCAGGACGAAAAACTTAAAGACACATATATGGATGTGGGGAGTGGGGTACGGCTACGGGTGTGGTCTGTGGAGTCCGCTCTCCCCGGCGCTGTGTGCGCGAGGCCGCCGAGGGCCGATCGAGGCCTTGCAACAAAAAGCTCACGCATACGTGCGGGAGGGGGGGGGGGGGGGTATCGTACCAGCAACGTTTATTTTATTCATAGATTAGGCCGCCTCTGGACTACACTGATTCTACAGACTA